ATTCAGTGTAGGGGTTGTCACACACAGTCACGAAACACCAGGGTGTCAGAGACAGTGTTGGTGCTAAATAATAACAAGCAGTTGTGAATTATTTTTCTTGGGAGGGAGACAAAGCAGAGTCCAGACTGTCCTATAACAGCTCCGCTGTCTCTCTCACCAACATTCTAAAAGGTCACCTTGAGTAGTTTCCCAGCTAAGTGCCCAGGAACTTGCAAAGAGGGCAAGAAATGACACGTAGCCTGCAACCCTGGTCTCCTTTGTCTCAGACCAGTGAGCCTTTCAGTGGGAAATGCTGTCAGTGGTGGGGCGTGTTCGTTGCTGTGTTAGCTCCGTGGCCTGATTTCCAAGTTACTTCCATGTCCTTTTTCATTTTAGTGATGGATAAAATTTTAATAAAGAAGCCCAAGACAGAGGAAAAGACACAAATTGTCTGTCTTCTTGTTGTTCAGTCACTCAGTCGTGTCTGACTCTTTGTAACAACATGGACTTCACCATCTCCCAGAGTTTGCTCAAACTCATGTCCATTGAGTCAGTGATGCCATCCAACCATCTCATCCTCTGTCATCCCCTTCTCCTTCTGTCTTCAGTCTTTCCAGCATCAGGGTCTTTTCTAATAAGTCAGTTCTTCGCATCAAGTGGCCAAAGTATTGGAGCTTCAGCTTCATCATCAGTCCTTCCAGTGAATATTCAGGATTGATTTCCTTTACAATTGACTGGTTTGATTTCCTTGCAGTCCAAGGGACTCTCAAGAATCTTTTCCAACACCACAGTTCAAAGGCATCAATTCTTCACCACTCAGCCTTCTTTAAGGTCAAACTCTCACATCCATACATGACTACTGGAAAAACCATAGCTTTGATTAGATAGACCTTTGTTGTCAAAGTAATGTCTCTGCTTTTTAATACCTATCTAGGTTTGTCATAGCTTTTCTTACAAGGAGCAAACGTCTTTTAATTTCATGGCTGCAGTCACCATCTAAAGTGACTTTGGAGCCCCCTCCAAAAAATAAAGTCTCAAATTGTTTCCATTGTTTCTCCATCTATTTGCCATGAAGTGATGGGATCAGAGGTCATGGTCTTTGTTTTTTGAATGTTGGGTTTTAAGCCAGCTTTTTCACTCTCCTCTTTCACCTTCAAGAAGCTCTTTAGTTCCTCTTTGCTTTCTTCTGAAATGGTGGTATCATCTGCATATCTGAGGTTATTGATTTTTCTCCTGGCAATCTTGATTCCAGCTTGTGCTTCATCCAGCCCAGGATTTTGCACAGTGTATTCTGCATATAAGCGAAATAAACAGGGTGATAGTATAGAGCCTTGACTTACTCCTTTTACAGTTTTTAACCAGTCTATTGTTCCATGTCCAGTTCTAACTGTTGCTTCTTGACCTGCATTCAGGTTTCACAAGAGGCAGGTAAGGTTTACTGTTATTCCCATCTCTTGAAGAGTGTTCTACAGTTTATTGTGATCCATACAGTCAAAGCCTTTCACATAGTCAATGAGTCAGAAATAGATGTTTTTCTGGAATTCTCTTGCTTTTTCTATAATCCAATGGATGTTGGCAATTATCTATCTACATTGTGCCATGATCAAGAAAGATCCCATGCTAACAAACACATGAAAAGATGCTCAACATCACTCATTATCAGAGAAATGCAAATCAAAACCACAATGAGGTACCATTACACGCCAGTCAGGATGGCTGCTATCCAAAAGTCTACAAGCAATAAATGCTGGAGAGGGTGTGGAGAAAAGGGAACCCTCTTACACTGTTGGTGGGAATGCAAACTAGTACAGCCACTATGGAGAACAGTGTGGAGATTCCTTTACAAACTGGAAATAGAACTGCCATATGACCCAGCAATCCCACTCCTGGGCATACACACCAAGGAAACCAGATCTGAAAGAGACACGTGCACCCCAATGTTCATCACAGCACTGTTTATAATAGCCAGGACATGGAAGCAACCTAGACACCCATCAGCAGACAAATGGATAAGGAAGCTGTGGTACATATACACCATGGAATATTACTCAGCCATTAAAAAGAATACATTTGAATCAGTTCTAATGAGATGGATGAAACTGGAGCCCATTATGCAGAGTGAAGTAAGCCAGAAAGATAAACACCAATACAGTATACTAACGCATATATATGGAATTTAGAAAGATGGTAACGATAACACTATATGCAAGACAGAAAAAGAGACACAGATGTATAGAACAGACTTTTGGACTCTGGGAGAAGGCAAGGGTGGGATGTTTCGAGAGAACAGCATTGAAACATGTATATTATCAAGTGTGAAACAGATCACCAGCCCAGGTTGGATGCATGAGACAAGTGCTCAGGGCTGGTACACTGGGAAGACCCAGAGGGATGGGATGGGGAGAGAGGCAGGAGGGGGAATCGGGATGGGGAACACATGTAAATCCATGGCTGATTCATGTCAATGTATGGCAAAAACCACTACAATATTGTAAAGTAATTAGCCTCCAACTAATAAAAATAAATGAAAAAAAAAAGAAAGACCCCATGAACGTTTCTCTTGGTACCAAAAACAACAGAATAAAATTAATTTGGTTTATAACCACCCTCTAAGTATTAAAAGAACACATGAGAACAATAAACTCTATGTATTATTTTAGCAATTAGACATAAATTATTTGTGTTCATTTTCCAGTAATATATATATGTATCACATACCTTTTAATATTACCAGCAGAGGAAAAGTCAGGAGAAGGAGTAAAAAATCAAGATTCTTTTTATAAAATAATGATCAACATTATCTAGGGTGAAACAGATCACCAGCCCAAGCTGGATGCATGAGACAAGTACTCAAGCCTGGTGCACTGGGAAGACCCAGAGGAATTGGGTGGAGAAGGAGGTGGGAGGGGGGATCGGGATGGGGAATACATGTAAATCCATGGCTGATTCATGTCAATGTATGACAAAAACCACTACAATAAAAAAGAAAAAAAATAAAAATTTTGGTTGAGGTATTTATTTCTTCCTCATAAAGGACTTTTGGGGAGATATTATAACTGATTAACTTTATTGCCAGTGATTTCATAAATATCATGTTGGTTGAAATGCTGTGGCTTTGTTTGGGAAACTCTGAATATACCCAGAGAAGCATAGCGTGAACTGTCATGCCAATGAGAGCAAAAACATTAAAGAATCTCTGACATAAAGCAAGTAGGTCAGATTTGAACCAATAGCTCTGATTCCATGGGGTCAGCCTAGTTCTTCTGTATGTTTTGTGATAAATTAAGATTCCTAGCTGTAATGCCAGAGAGAGCCAGCGTGGTTTTTTTTAAATAATTTTATTTGTTTATTTATTTTTGGCTGTGCTAGGTCCTCATTGCTGCTCAGACTACTCTCTAGTTGTGGGGTGGAGGCTTCTCATCGAGGTGGTTTCTCTTGTTGTGGAGCACGGGCTCTGAGGTGCGGAGACTTCAGTAGTTGTGGCAGGTGGTCTCAGCAGTTTTGGCTCCTGGGCTCTAGATCACAGGTTCAATAGCTGTAGCACAAGGGCTTAGTTGCTCCGAGGCATGTGGGATCTTCCTGGAGCAGGGACTGACCGGGAGTCACCAGCATTGACAGGCAGACTCTTTCCCATCAAGGAAGCCTTAGTGTGTTTACAGTATTTTCTGAGTGTCAAGCATGGCAGCTCCACTCTTATACTGAACCCTCAGAGCAGCACTGAAGTGGATTATTAGTGTTCACATTTTTTACATAAAGAAACCTAAGATCACACTGATAGCAAAAGGCAGAGCTGAGGTTCAAACTTTGTCTAGCTTCAGCATCTATGCTCTTAATGGAGGCACCCCATCCAGTTTGACCCTCAGCACAGTAAACCTAAGGTCAGGGGTTGACAGATTATGGCCATGGGCCAAATCCAGCTCACCGCCTCATTTTGTATGTCTTGTGAGCTTAGAACCATTTTTATGTTTTTAATGCTCTTTTTGAAAAAACAAGTATAGCATAGTATTCTGTGCTTTGTTAAAAAAAATACATAACAATTTCAGTTTCTATAAAGTTTTATTGACGCACAAGCCTTGTTCATTCTTTTACATATTACCCAAGGCTGCTAAAATCACAGAGTTGAGTAGTTGCAAGAGAGACCAAATGGCCTGCAAATCTAAAAATATCTGCCACTTGACTTTTCACAGACAGAGTTTGCCTGGGGTTATCATTGAGCCACTGGGCTTCCCAGGTGGCTTCCTGGTAGATCCCCTGGAGAAGGAAATGGCAACTTGCCCCAGTATTCTTGCCTGGGAAATCCCACAGACAGAGGAGCCTGGCGGGCTACAAAGTTCATGGGGTTGCAAAAGTGTTGGACATGACTTAGCAACTAAACAACAGCAACAACAAATCATACTTGCTGAAAATAAGACCAGGCCCAGACCTTGATATTTTCTTTAACATTAAAGTTTTTTGAGTGAAGTTACTATTTTCAGGTATAAACTGTATTTTGAACTGTGATGTTGGGGAAGACTCGAGAGTCCCTTGGACTTCACGGAAATCCAACCAGTCCATCCTAAAGGAAATCCGTCCTGAATATTCATTGGAAGGACTGATACGAAGCTCCAATATTTTGGCCACCTGATGCAAAGAACTGACTCATTGGAAAAGACCCTGATGCTGGGAAAGATTGAAGGCAGAAGAAGAAGAGGACAACAGCAGATGAGTTGGTTCGATGGCATCACCGATTGGATGGCCATGAGTTTGAGCAGGCTCCGGGGTGATGAATAGGGAAGCCTGGCGTGCTGCACTCCATGGGGATACAAAGAGTCAGACATGACTGAGTGACTGAACTGAACTGAACTGAACTGAAACTGTATTTTAAGGCAGCCATCCTTCAATATCTGAGGACGACTGGCTCCAGGACCCATGGGTGTTTAAGTCCCCTCTATTAAATGTTTATATTTAGGGGCGGGGGCGGCGTGGAGGAGGCGGAGGCCGGCGGTCAGCTCCGCTCCAATTTGTTTGCCATGTCCTGGCAGGCAAAAGACGACTTCCTGCGACACTACACAGTCTCCGACCCCCGGACCCACCCCAAGGGCTACACTGAATATAAAGTGACGGCGCAGTTCATCTCAAAGAGGGACCCAGAGGATGTCAAAGAGGTGGTGGTCTGGAAGCGGTACAGTGACTTTCGAAAGTTGCATGGAGACCTGGCCTACACCCACCGCAACCTCTTCCGCCGCCTCGAGGAGTTCCCAGCCTTCCCCCGCGCCCAGGTGTTTGGCCGGTTTGAAGCCTCGGTGATTGAGGAGCGGCGAAAGGGGGCCGAGGACTTGCTTCGCTTCACTGTACACATTCCCGCGCTCAACAACAGCCCCCAGCTCAAGGAGTTCTTCCGGGGTGGGGAGGTGACACGGCCCTCTGAGGTGTCCAGAGACCTGCACATCCTTCCCCCGCCTCTGATTCCCACACCACCGCCTGAGGAGCCCCGGGCCCAGCCACATGAGACTTGGTTGCCCCAGCCACTTCCTGCAGAGAGAAGGGGCCTTGAGGAGTTGGAGGTGCCAGACCCGCCACCATCCAGCCCTGCTCAGGAGGCCTTGGATCTCCTCTTTAACTGTGGGAGCATCGAGGAGGCATCCAGTTCCCCTGCCCGAGGCCCCCTCACCGAGGCTGAGCTTGCCCTATTTGACCCCTTCTCCAAGGAAGAAGGTGCAGGACCCAGTCCTACCCACATAGGGGAGCTGGCAGCATTGGAGGCAGAATCTGGAAGACTGGACCAGGAATCCTGGGAGCCAGGTGGACAAGCAGAGGAAGACGACGAAGGAGACCCCACCCCTGCCTATCTGAGCCAAGCCACAAAACTCATCACCCAGGCCCTACGGGACGAGAAGGCAGGTGCCTACCCTGCCGCTTTGCAGGGCTACCGGGATGGCGTGCACATGCTGCTCCAGGGAGTTCCTGGTGACCCATCACCTGCCCGCCGAGAGGGTGTGAAGAAGAAGGCGGCCGAGTACCTGAAGCGGGCAGAGGAAATCCTGCACCTGCATCTGCCCTAACTCCCACCCTGAGATGGGAGTGGACCCATTCCCAGGACTCTGGCTCCAGCACTGCCAGCCACCCTCTTCTCTCCCTGGTGCCTGATCACCTGGTCCTATAACTGGCCATTTCTGTATGTAACTGGACCAGGAATGAGAAAAATAATGAATTCTCAGCTCCCTGACCACACCTGCCACCTTGGAATCAGGGACTCACATGTCTGAGCCTGCCTGTCTCTATCTTGATATGGGAGGCTGCAACTCTGGTCCCTAAACCATCTGTTTATCCATCTAGAACCGGGGTCTGCAAACTACTGCCCACAGCTGGATATGCCCCACTGCCTTTTTTTATAAGGCCCATGAACTAGAAGAGTTTTTACTTTTTTTTAATAGTTGAAAAAATCCAAAATAATAATATTCTGTGATAGGTGAAAATTATAATGAAATTTAAGTGTCTAAAAAATAAAAGTTTATTGGAACACACAAAAAAATAAATGTTTATATTTGAATATTTATGTTTAACATAAACATAAAATATTTATGTTTATATATAACCTACACACATCCTCCTGTATACTTTAAATCATCTCTAGATTACTCAGGGAACCTACTGCAAATTCTATATAAATAGTTGTGTGTGTTCAATCACTCAGATGTGTCTGGCTTTTTGCAACCCATGGACTATGGCCCACCAGGCTCCTCTGTCCATGGGATTCTCCAGGCAAGAATACTGGAGTGGGTTGCCATTTCCTTCTCCAGAGGATCTTCCTGACCCAGGGATCGAACTCAACTCTCTTTATCTTCTGCATTGCAGGGTGATTCTTTACCACTGAGTCACCGGCGAAGCCAGTAATTAACCGTTATTGTTGTTGTTCAGTCGCTCAGTCATATCTGACTCTTTGCAACCCCATGGACTGCAGCATGCCAGGCTTCCTGTCCTTCACCATCTCTCGGAGCTTGCTCAAACTCGGGTCCATTGAGTCTGTGATGCCATCCAACCATCTCATCCTCTATTGTCCCCTTCTCCACCTGCCTTCAATCTTTCTCAGAATCAGGATCTTTTCTAATGAGTCACCATTAGAGTTTTTGGAGTTTTGCTTTTTGGAACTTTCAAGAAAAAAATTTTTTTCAAATATATTTGATCCACAGTTGGTTGAATCCACAAATGTGGAGCCCGCAGATACAGAAGGCAAACTGTATTTAGAATTAACTAAATATCACCTCAAAGGCACCAAATATTAGACATAGATGTTTGTGCCTGTTTTGGAAGCAAGGATGAAGAAAATCATTTGTTCTTTAAGATATTTAAAACACTTGCTCTGAAATAACGGTGGCATCATTATTTTGCATAATGTCTATGAAATGGATTTGTTCAGCAGAGAGAAGTTTAAAGCTAAGTTATACAAAATCCTAATTAGCGATGTTTTAAATAAGTTTCAGTGACCAATTGTTCCCCCATCACCCAAAAGGAAATGAGATGCTTAAGGAAATTCTTCAGGCACTCTGGATTTAATAGACCAGAGTTGAGCTGCAAATGTTCCACTCTGCACCGCCAACATTCATCCATTCCTTCCCTCTTAGGGCCACGCTCTCTGTTAGATCCTGGAGCCACAAAGATGACCGGACACAGTTGCTCCCTTTATTTGGATTCTCAGCTACAATTCTCACACTTTTTCTGTTTTTCCACTTGGAGGGGAGTGGTTCTCCTTCTCTAATTATTCCTTCCTACTGGATTATGTCAGTCACTCCTGCTGACAATCTTACATTCATAGAAGAATCTTTAGGGCATCATTCCACACATCCTTCCTGGCCTCCTGAATAGAAACGTGCATCCTACTGGCATAATAATGTGTGGATCAGTTATCTATTGCCATAATAATTCTACACAAAGAACCACCATAACATTTCCATACATTATCACAATACACATTGATTTAACTCCTGAGTCTGTGAAGTTAAGCTGATCTGGCTGCACCCAGCTGAGGCCTTGCTTCAGGTGGGTACCTAGACTTGCTTTCTGGGGCTGGGCTTGCTTACATCTCTGGGGTTGGCTGCCTGTTGGCTGATCCAGGTTGGCCCAGCTCAGCAAACTTCAGGCTCACCCAGGCATGCCCATCTCATGGAGATGACAGAAGGCAAGAGTGGGCAAGCCCAATAATGCTAGGTGCTCTTCAAGTTTCTATCTGTATCACATCAGCTCACGTCCCATTGGCCAAAGTAAGTTTCATGGCCAAGCCCTGTGTCAGAAGGGAAGGGTCACACAAAGTGACATGGCAAGTGGCATCAATGTGGTTGTTAGTCAAACACTGGGACCATGCAATCCACCATGCATGTGAGCAAAACTAACACCCAGAGGTAAATTATTTTCATTATAAAATATATAGGTGGAAATACACACACATAAATCAATGAGTAAGAATTATATTGTGCAACAATTTCTAAACATCACACTATATTTTAGAGGATCTTAACAAAGGGACAAACTCCATCTGCAGAGTTTAGTCCTGCTTACCCCTTTCATGGGACGGCTCACTGTTCAGGAGACACTTGGAGACTCAGAGACGGGGCAATTTGAGAGCCAGTGTGGGTCCCAGGAGGATGGTTATCATAGGACTTGACATAGAGAATGGCAGGAAATCTGTCACTTCTCACTTGCTTCTTGGAAGTAGGTCAAAGGTTAAATATAAACACCTCCAATCACCAATTAAGTAAAAACAAAGCTCACATCATATCCACCTGCAGAAAAATATTGTATTTCCCCTCCCAACAACTGGAGCATGGCCAGTAATGGGAACCAGTGCCCCCAGGCCCACCTGTTTTGGGATATGGCGACATATAATTCTATCCTCAGGATGAAGTAAACAAGACTAAAGGGATTGTGTGAATGTTAATGGTGATGAGGAAACAGAAGCATCAGGATATACCACAAAAAACTAGTGAACAGGCAAATGGGCACACTTTATGTGGTCCTTGATGACAATAATTGACTATGCTTTCTTTTTTTTTTGCTTTTTAAAGTTTTACTTTATTTTTACTTTTTGGACTGCATCAAGTGGCATACAGGATCTTAGTTCCTCAACCAGGAATTGAACCTATACCCATTGCATTGGAAGCATAGATTCTTAAACCACTGGACTGCCAAGGAAGTCCTCACTTTTTTCACTTTTTAAATTGTGGTTAAAGCCATGACTGAAGAGACTTAGCATGCATGCCTGCATTGGAGAAGGAAATGGCAACCCATTCCAGTATTCTTGCCTGGAGAATCCCAGGGACAGGGAAGCCTGGTGGGCTGCTGTTTATGGGGTCACACAGAGTCAGACACGACTGAAGTGACTTAGCAGCAGCAGCAGCAAAGCCACATAACATGGGTTCCACCTTCTTAACAAAATTTTAAGTACACAGTATAGTATTGTTAGCTATAAAACACAGTTCAGTTCAATTCAGTTCAGTCGCTCAGTCATGTCCAACTCTTTGCGACCCCATGAATTGCAGCACACCAGGCCTCCCTGTCCATGACAAACTCCCGGAGCTTATTCAAACTCATGCCCATAGAGTCAGTGATGCCATCCAGCCATCTCATCCTCTGTCGTCCCCGTCTCCTCCTGCCCCCAATCCCTCCCAGCATCAGGGTCTTTTCCAACGAGTCAACTCTTCGCATGAGATGGCCAAAGTATTGGAGTTTCAGCTTCAGCATCAGTCCTTCCAATGAACGCTCAGGACTGATCTCCTTTAGGATAGACTGGTTGGATCTCCTTGCAGTCCAAGGGACGCTCAAGAGTCTTCTCCAACACCACAGTTCAAAAGCATCAATTTTTCGGCGCTCGGCTTTCTTCACAGTCCAATTCTCACATCCATACATGACCACTGGAAAAACCATAGCCTTGACTAGATGGACCTTTGTTGGCAAAGTAATGTCTCTGCTTTTTAATATGCTGTCTAGGTTAGTCATAACATTCCTTCCAAGGAGTAAGCGTCTTTTAATTTCATGGCTGCAATCACCATCTGCAGTGATTTTGGAGCCCAAAAAATAAAGTCTGACACTGTTCCACTGTCTCCCCATCTATTTCCAGTGAGGTGATGGGACCAGATGCCATGATCTTAGTTTTCTGAATGTTGAGCTTTAAGCCAACTTTTTCACTCTCCTCTTTCACTTTCATCAAGAGGCTTTTTAGCTCCTCTTCACTTTCTGCCATAAGGGTGGTGTCATCTGCATATCTGAGGTTATTGATATTTCTCCCTGCAATCTTGATTCCAGCTTGTGCTTCTTCCAGCCCAGCATCTCATGATGTACTCTGCATATAAGTTAAATAAGCAGGGTGACAATATACAGCCTTGACGTACTCCTTTTCCTATTTGGAACCAGTCTGTTGTTCCATGTCCAGTTCTAACTGTTGCTTCCTGACCTGCATACAGGTTTCTCAAGAGGCAGGTCAGGTGGTCTGGTATTCCCATCTCTTTCAGAATTTTCCACAGTTTATTATGATCCACACAGTCGAAGGCTTTGGCGTAGTCAATAAAGCAAAAATAGATGTTTTTCTGGAACTCTCTTGCTTTTTCGATGATCCAGCAGATATTGGCAATTTGATCTCTGGTTCCTCTGCCTTTTCTAAAACCAGCTTGAACATCTGGAAGTTCTCGGTTCACGTATTGCTGAAGCCTGGCTTGGAGAATTTTGAGCATTACTTTACTAGCATGTGAGATGAGTGCAACTGTGCAGTAGTTTGAGCATTCTTTGGCATTGCCTTTCTTAGGGTTTGGAATGAAAACGAATCTTTTCCAGTCCTGTGGCCACTGCTGAGTTTTCCAAATTTCTGACATATTGAGTGCAGCACTTTCACAGCATCATCTTTCAGGATTTGAAATAGCTCAACTGGAATTCCATCACCTCCACTAGCTTTGTTCGTAGTGATGCTTTCTAAGGCCCAGTTGACTTCCCATTCCAGGATGTCTGGCTCTAGGTGAGTAATCACACCACCGTGATTATCTGGGTTATGAAAATCTTTTTTGTACAGTTCTTCTGT